GGACTCACTTGAAAATTATCGTCCTATATCAATCATTTCGACAATTGGATAAGTTATATAGCTTATCGTCAAGAAGAGACTGATGACGTACTTCCAGGAGGAAAAGTTCCTGGATCGAATTCAGTATGGTCTTCCGAAGAACTGATCTTACACACATGAAGTAACGAAACTGGTCAGTGATGTGATTGATCATTTCGAAACAGGTGAACACACTATATCTACCTTGTGTGATCTGAGCAAAGATTTCGATTGCATCTCGCATCTGACATTGATAGCAAACATAAAAAAGTATATTGTCTCAGGAGTTCATTTTTTTTTATATCATCCATATAATCCTCTCCAAATTGCGAAATTATTCGTGTATAACTCAAAGTTCAGTTCCAGAGCCACTTCTTTCTATTATCTATATTAATGACCTTTTTGAATACTTTGATTATATTAATGATATTTTATTTGCAAATGACGCAAATATATCTGGTCGAGGCAGGAATCGAACCCACGGTCTTCCGATCGTGAGTCGGGCGCACTACCACCGCGGCCAATTCCACAACACTAATACATCATTACGGTCCCTAAGAGAAAATATGTGGACTCACTTGAAAATTATCGTTCTATATCAATCATTTCGACAATTGGATAAGTTATATGCTTATCGTCAAGAAGAGACTGATGACGTACTTCCAGAAGGAAAAGTTCCTGGATCGAATTCAATATGGTCTTCCGAAGAACTGATCTTACACACATGAAGTAACGAAACTGGTCAGTGATGTGATTGATCATTTCGAAACAGGTGAACACATTATATCTACCTTGTGTGATCTGAGCAAAGATTTCGATTGCATCTCGCATCTGACATTCATAGCAAACATAAAAAAGTATAGTGTCTCAGGAGTTCACTTTTTTTTCATATCATCCATATAATCCTCTTCAAATTGCGAAATGATTCGTGTATAACTCAAAGTTCAGTTCCAGAGCCACTTCTTTCCATTATCTATATTAATGACCTTTTTGAATACTTTGATTATATTAATGATATTTTATTTGCAAATGACGCAAATTTTTATCACCTCGTTACAAATTTAATGAATTTGACTATCAAATATTTGACAATTCCTGCCAAATTTCAATTAATGGTTGTTATCTAATCTAATATATGAAAATAGATGTTTGTTGGTTGGTTGGTTGGTTGGTAAGTGATAAACTTCTACATCGCTCAACCGATCGTGATGAAACTTGACATGTATGAGTAATTTTCCATAGAGAAGGTTTTAAGGCTATAAATTTTCCTGTAACTCGCCACTAATGGGCGCTTTTTAAAATTTTTTCGAAAGCACTGTTCTATAATGCTGCGCACGTCTAAGTTCGTTGATTCTGATTCTGTCAAAACATTGGAACAGCAGCGATACAGCAACATAGTACTAGTAACATATAAAATGAAGCAGAAATACGAAATATTCCTTCTACTATGAACAGTACTTTGAATCTGCATAACCCTCTGGAACTATTAGGTATCACACAAGACCAATCCCTTGAGAGGACGATACATATTGATTACAACAAAAAACTATTTGGTTAACTATTTTTGTATAGAAGATCACACGTATCTTTCGGAACTATGTTGCAAAGTGATTCTATACATGCTCACCAGATTCTGACACTGCAAAAACGTGCTGCAAGGCTAGTCGTCGAATCAGATGCTGGCGAATCTTGCAGAAAGTATTTTAAACAGTTCATTCATTCGAGTCCACTGTAATCTAATTTGAGTGATGATAAAACTCATAATTATAACTTGAGGTATGGTTATTTTCCCATGAATGGAAGAGTCAGGTTGGACATCTTATCTCGTATTTGCCAAATTAAAATTTGAAATGAAAAAATGTATGATAGTTTGCGGTCTCTAATCGTTGAAAGAATATTTCCAGATATGCACATCTCCCTTCCCTGCTTTCCGACTTAAGTAATATTATGCATACATACATTAGTATGGATTCAACGTCTGAGTTTTAATGTCTGATCCCGAACATTTATATTGATAGTATCGCTATACATCATTTTCATATGTTAATCAAACTTGTTAACTGCAATGCGCAGACAATGAAGTGTCAAGTTTAACCTAACGTAAAATGATTTCATGTGTCCTACACCTAAAGATAACAGTTAAAAAGTTGATTTTTTTTAAAAACATTGCATGTTTCTTGAAAAATGAATTACTACTACTGGGACTTCACTGTAATATTTGAAATGCCTGTGTCGAATGTCAGAGTATGAAATATTTTTGTGATAATTATACAACAGAGATTTGTCCATTGCTACAATCTAACTTTTTGAAGTTGGAAAGAAGTCGTCGGTATACGTAGACAATACTAATATTATTTTTGCTGAAAGAATGGAGCAGACAAGTCTCCATCACTGATCCCAGAGGAATTACTAAAACTTTTTTACAAAAATGGAATATCATATATATGACAGAGTATTTAATTTAATTCAACTGAAAGATGGTTTCTCATTAATTGTTTTAGTTCATGATAACCATAAGCTCCAAAATTTTCAGACTTCTGATTAATAAAAATTGTTGACAGATCTATCGTGAATATCAATGATTTCTATTCAACTATGCAAGATTATCTCAATTCTGCACATATCAGAGCTGTGGACAAAATCCCAATTAGTTGCTATTGATACTGATAATGCAAACATTCCACAAATTGAAAAATAAGTTTTCTACAGGTTACTTGCAGGAATCATTTCGATATTACAATTATTGAGCCTACGTACAGTAGAGGGCGCTGATTGCATCGATTCATTTACCGACTGTGACTGGTGTACAAAAAATAACGAATATTTTCATTTTTTCAGTTTTTGATTAAAAAAATACCTCTTTCGTACTATAATCTTTTGATACTCAAGTATATTTTGAAGGCGACTTGATCTATGACAAAACTGTAATACCATGCTATGTAAATGTATAACAAAATTTTAAGTACGAAGTCTCTTCAAAAAATTTTGCGGGCAACTTATATTCGACTAGCGATTTTTTATGTTGTATTCTGAATAGAATGACCAAATAGAATTTAATTCTTTTCCTCTTCTGAATCATTTTTATGGTGTGGTTACTGGTATTCAGTTTATTACATGTCCATTTATGATGTTCAATTTACACTACACTTAGGTAAAATTATCAGTGGGGTGGAAAGTCATATGTGATATGATTCAATTTGATATTATAGAATCTGGTTGAATCTGATCATTACTACGCGTTGGTCAAAGACCAAACAGATTGGTTTAAGTTTGACGATAGTCGTGTCACTAAGTATTCTGGCGATGTCTTGAATTTATTGGAACACACTACATATTGTTTTATGAAAGAAAGGACATTGGCAGATCAAGATCTTCAGATGATGTGGTGCTGCAGGTTTTTCCGGATTTTCCTGCACCTGAAAAGGCAAATGCGACACTGGAATCAATGAAGTCGCCTCGGAGCGCCAATTAATTTTGGTTGTTTCATAATTTCACGATTTGTATTACTTTCTTCTAATATATTATTGTTTTGATGAAACTCAAACTGTGATTCTGTTGGAATCTGTTTTTCCGTTAACCAGCTGTGAGAACTCTCAGAAGTCGAAACATTGCGAGTCGAGGATTAACGAGATGTTACATTTTAAAGTATGATTCCCTGGATTGATATAAACGATATACAGTAAAAAATGATCGGCCAGTCTCACGGCTTGAACCACCGACTCACACAGCGGTCGATTGAGTGACTGGAGCAAACCACCCACNACATTGTCAATCACCTTCAAAGAAACGTCATTTTAAGTATTTATTATACAATAACTTCGTCTTTTACACTAAGTAATGTGGACGAATCGTTCAAAAGTTATCACAATAAGATTATGTTGATGCAACGCAGTCAGCCATTATGCGTTTCGTCTACTATAAGACGACGACATGTCAACAGAAATATAGGCAATATTCCTTGATCCTCATTCCTCTATTTATCTGAATGCTGATGCATATAACATATGCTTATGTTGCATAAACTGCACATCACGATTTGATCTTCACAAACTTCATTTCAAGAAATATGTTACGACATGTTTCGCTACCATAGTAGCTTTTTCGTAGTAAATGACTGTCAGTAGGTCATTCAGTACGAAAAAGTACCTGTGATAGTGATACGTGTGATATATTTTTGAAAGGAAAGTTTGTAAAGATCAAATCGTAAGGTAAAGTTTATGGAATTACTATGGATCTCTATCAAGCAACGGCCGGATCAATTAGAAAAATATTAGTATAGGAGCTAGCAACGTTTTCGAGAAATAATTTCAGAACAGTTGGTTTTTTTATATGCTGTCTTTCTTGATTTTTCGGTTAGAGTCCGGGCTACCTGACTGGCGGTAGTGGTTGCGTTTATTATTGCGCATCTTACCTGCACAGGTAAAAATCCTTAACTTTAAAAGCATTTTTTAAAGCGTAATTTCTAATTTTTTGCCTTTAGATAGATCCACCAGACTTCAAGTTTTTATTGCCAGGCATTTTTGTTGTTGTTAATTTTGCGTCATACGCGATTTTTTAATTTTTTNATAAAAATTACAGACATTCAAAAATACTTTGAATTTTTTATTTAAATAAAATAAAAAATCGCGTATGGCACATAATTAACAACAATAAAAATGCCTGGCAATAAAAAGTTGATGTCTGGTGAATCTATCTAAAGGTAAAAAATTAAAAATTACGCTTTGAAAAATTCTTTCAAAGTTAAGGATTTTTACCTGTGCAGGTAAGATGCGCATTAATAAACACAACCACTACCGCCAGCCAGGTATCCCGGACTCTAACCGAAAGAGCGAGATGGCCAGCATATCAAAAAACTGTTCTGAAATTGTTGTTTTCCAAACGTTGCTAGCTCCCGTACTATATGTTTATGTTTCGAATCAAATTGTACAAAAGTCTGTAATTATTTTATTCTCATGAAAAATGTTCACGCAAATTTTTTTTAGATCTCCGTCAACACACAAAATGTCACCAATATTTAGGAAAATATTCCTTCACTTTATGCCAAAGCTTCTGATTATGAGACGTACAAAATATTCTCTGCCAGAATATGACGATTCGCAGCCACCCAGAGGATATACGAATGATATGGAAATACAGTAAGTATTGAAGTATGTGCAAAGTTTTTTATTTTTAGCGCGATTTTAATAATGTTTTGATGAGTGGATGGAATTTTTTCTCAGATTAATTAACAGATTCACTATTAGGTTGTTATAAAAGTTTTGTCCGTTTTTATGAGTCTACTTTAAAGTGTAATATCTCTATGAATAGTTACTCAATTTAATTGAAATGAACGCTGTTTGAATCAGTGCATCTTTGCTAACGTAAGACAAGTCGATAATTCCGTTAGCATAAAAATTGTGTACTTGAGATTTGATGAAGTCGACGAAGGCTGTTTTCGCCTGATCCTGACTAGCAAAGGTTCTACCGGTGAGAAAGTTACCAAAGTGCTTGAAAAAATGGTAGTCGGTTGGCGAGAGGTATGGTGAGAGAGATATAACTTCGACGCTCAGGATCGTACCTTTTCTGTTGACCAATGCCGCTCGCTGTTTCTGCTGTGATAGTTTGGCCCGGTTACAGAAAGTTTCGTTTTGGTTGCGAAGAAGCGAAGAAAAACATACTTCGAAACGCGAAAATTTTTGTCGTTCTTTCAAATCTTAAGACACGCCTTTTCGAGCTTTCTGACCTGTCCAATACGTTTTGAATTATTAAAAACCGCATGGAAGCTAATGTCCAGTTTTTCGGCCATCCCGCGTTCCATTTGTGATGGATTGTTTCTTTCATCATGTGTTAACATTGCTATATTCTAAACCGTAACAGATATAAAGACGACTGAATGGGAATGAATATAGTTTAAAAAAACTAAAAAACACGCTTTTAAAGAACATCGAACTGAAAAGTTAAAAATAATCATTTTAAATAAGCTTAAAACAATAACGAACGAAAAATACTAGTATTATTGTGAAAATAGCGACGGGCGCCTTAATTCTAATTTTTCGATTTTTTGAGTGACTGAATTTTTTGGGTGTACAATTTACGATAAAGTTTTCATTGTTGAAATCCATCTGGTTTGCTTTCATATTCGAATTAGATTTTAAAATATCTTCCGTTTCGTTCAAAACTTTTTTCTGTACTGAATCACTGGTAATTGTGAATATTTAAATATTTCATCTATAGTACAAAATTTCGTTAACACTCAAAATTTTCAAAATACGTTTTTTATTTTGATTTTTTTTTGAACAACTTATCAGGGAGGTTACGTATAGCGGAATCTGCCCGCGAATAGCTCAAGCAATAATTGATAGTTACGTACAGCGCCATCTGCCCGCGAATAGATCAAGCAATAATGCCAATAATTCTGTCAATACAGATCTCGAGAACCTACATACAAACAAACATACATACATACATGCATACATACATACATACAGATGAAGCTAATATAAAGCGTGTAAAAAAGGTAACTGTCATCGAGAACAATACAATGATCGAAGCAAATTTACGGGAACTCTCGCCGTTTTTGAGTTATACGGGGAAAACAAAAAATGCTGTTTTTTGTGTTTTTCGAATGGAATTGTTATTTCGGAGAATATAAAAAAATGGAAAAAAAGTATTATTGTATTCGAAGTGTGCTATGACGATGTAATAATGAATATTTGATATAACGTTTCGTGTCAACATGGCCACCATCAACTTTTTTTTTGAGACCTGTCTTTTTTATTACAGATATTGATAAAGCGTCATTTCTTTGGTGAATTGTTTCGATTTCTTCAAAATATAATTCAGGCAACCCAATAAATTCGACAGGTAGGTACTCGAACACAATGAAAATTCTTTTTTTTTCGTTTTGGAAATATTTGTATTGCCGTAATCCTTCTTTCGAAGCTTATTTCTCCCTAATCAGTTATATTACGTGATATTTTTATAATTATCAATCCTGGAAGTAACGCATGGTGAGAGATCATAAGGAAGAAAAGAGAATTGAAACTTTCTATGTTTTTGTATGAGTTTAATGTATAAGTTTGAAAATGTCCTTATAGGACGAAACTGCAGTAACGTTCAAAAATTATGCTAATCTCTTGTAATTTCTTGTAATGAAGAACAATCCTTTGTTCTTCATTACGAGAAATTGCCCACGTAATGAGGATTTCTGTAAAATCCACCAGAACTATTTTTAAAAAGAGCAATGCTGCAGGATACGCAAAATTTATCACCTCAATGAAAGGGATTACGGCTGGAGAGTACAAAGTGGTTAAGACGTAGAAATAGGAAAGTTGAAAATATTTGTAAAAATATATAATGGACGGCGAATCAAAATTCACTAACAATGGTTGGTTTAACAGAAATATCCATTATAGGTGGAGTAATACAAATGGACATTCACATAGGGAAACCAATTTCCAAGAAAGGTTCGGAATAAATGTTTGGTTGAGAATTGTGGGAACAAAAATCCTTGGCCCTTTCTTTTGCGATGATCATTTGAATAGCGAAATATATCTTCATTTTCTATTCAATGAATTCGATGGCTAGTTGGATGAATTGCCACTGAATATCCGCCATGAAATACAATATTTTCAACAGCACGGCGCTCCTTCCCGTAATGCAGCAATAGTAAGGGAACATTTAGAAGCAATATTCCCAAGAAAATGGATTGGAAACAATAGACCAATTACCTTTAAATTTTTTTGGGGATAAATGAAGAATAAAGTATTTTCAACACCAAGTACAGATATCGTCCATCTCAAACAAAAAATAAGAGATGCATGTATTAGTATTACACCTATTATGCTAGAAAATTTCCACAGAAATTGTCTAGACCGACAATTTATGTGTATTCAACAATAAGGTCATCAGTTCGAGCATTTAATGTAGATTGCCATGTAGCTTTGATTTTCCGTAGTGGTTTCATTTTTCCCAAAAGATCATGATAAAATAAATTGTTTTTCTGTTTGATTGTTTTGTCACTGATAATGGTGGTAATTTCTAATGAAACACTATAAAAATATCATATGTGATATACCCTTGGATTATGGATTTATCGCTCTATCAATATCTGTAATGAAAAAGACAGGTCAGTATTCAAAAAAAAGTTGATGGTGGCCATATTGACACAAAACGTTTTATCGAATATTCGTTCCTCTCTTTTATGAAGACAAAATGTTCGTAGATTGTCTTTCGTGATTTCTCACACGTCTACGTAAATAAAAGACGAATGTATAGGAAATTAACTAAACTTGAATACGTGATGGTTTCGAGTGTCGTTGAAAAGCTGTCTTTCACCACAGAGTGTCTCAACTTGATGAAAGATATATGACTGTGTTTCTCCATATATGTATCTTCATTATATTTTGTAGGCTCAACATGGGGGAACCTTTCACAACTGATTTTAAAATAACTACTAGGGAGCCGAGTTTTGTTCTTCAAAACAACGAACAAGAAGATGCCAAAATGAAAGCTCACTCTTCCAGTAAGTAATTGAGAATTTTTAATGATATATTTCAATTCACTAAATAGAGAAAGGAATACTCATTTCATCATCAACTTCACAGAATAAGTAGCCATACTTGGAGATTGGCTGTAAATCAAATTATCTGAAAGAACGATTCGTTCAGGCCATAATACTAACATTCAAAAAATTATGTTAACCCATAGATGAAAACGACGAAAACTATCAAAAAGATTGTTTTTGAATCAAATATTATTATTATTGATATAAATTCCCAGGCTACTGATTCTAACCCGCATTTCTTTTGTTACCAGTGACAGGATCATCAAACATGACCCCTAAAATGTTATCTGAGAATGTGCTGGCAGCATTCCAAGGAGTAAGGTTCATCGCTCAACATATTCGTGATGCAGATAAGGACAATGAGGTAGATATATCAGCTTTATTCATTCTGGAGGTTGAATATGAAAGGGATATTAGTTTGAAAAACCAAAAAATTGCGGATATATTTATGACTAACAATAATGCACACGTATAGTTGATGTACAATTTGAGAAAGTCGTTTCATGGGGTTATGAGTAGTCTCATCATTCAATCTAGATTCTACCTGAATGAATCACAGTTTTTCTAAGGTGCATACAGAGAAATAATGAAGAAAAGATAAATGAAACTTTCTATGTTTTTACTACTTTTATTTGTAACTAACGTCATTGCAGTTTCGTCCTATA